GCCTGAAGCAGAGCCAACAGCAATCGGAGAACATCTTACCAGACGGGCAATCGCATCATGTGCACGAGCCTGAGTTTGGTAACAAATTTTGATGCCCAACATGGAGCTGCACTCTCTCAGTGGTCAGGGTCCTCTGGACTTCCTTCTTGCAGCTTCTGGCGGTGGGAACACACAGGGTTGAGTGTGAAGTGACAGCTGCCTGTGGCAAGCTGGCCAGAAAGGGTTTCTCTGGAAAGTCCCAGCAGTTGCTGCAAATGTTCATCCTGGGGATTCTTTCCATCTGTCCCCTGCCCAGCACTGGCTGCCAGTTTTCACTTAAAGTTGGTGGGGATGAATTCTAACTTCTAATCTGAACTTTAATATTTGAAAGCAAACACTGGATCTCACCTGTTAGAAGTAAAATTGTAATACACATTTTCCTCTAGGACTTCTTCAATCACAGTCTAAAATTGAAAAAGAAATCAGGTTAGTACTGAATTAAAAGCAACAAAATAGAATCATTCAGAGGCACTGCAGTAACCTCACCTGCATCTGTTCTTACATGATGCCCTCCTGCAGATCAAAGCTGGTGGGTAGACCTGAAATAGAGAAATTATTGCAAGTCTGGCACAAGGTTCATGTTTTCTCAGTTGGATTTTATTGGCAATCATAAATGTGCAGTGAAAAAGGTCAGTTTCTTAATGATGAAGATGAGTACTTAGAAACACATTCCAAATTATCTTGGCTTTGCATACTCAGATGCTTCATTTCTCTTCCTTAAATAGCTTTCCACTTTTGGGGTGGCCATCAAAAAATAATACTCATCATTTAAAGGCATTGGATAAACTGGTCAATTAAGTTGTGTTTGCGTGTGTGTGTATGTGTGCGTGTGTGTATGGGTGTGTGTGTGCCTTATGAACAGGAAAGGAGTGACTCTAAACACAAACTACCTGAAAGGCAAAGAAAAGATTAAGAAACTCTCCCACATCCACAAGACAAAAAGAGTGGAAATGTATAAGCAAGGATAAATTCTTAGTGGAGGAAGTAATAGTCAGTGAATGACAACAAAGTTCTGACCTCTTCCCTTGGCTGCCAGGGGGGAAATAAAATGTACTTAAAGCTAGAAGACAATATTTCTTTTGCTGTTTAGACTGAGTGTCAGCGCTTAACCTACTCTGGTGCCACCCAAAGCAGTTTTGACCATCTTCCTCTCAAATCAATCAACACATAGAGGCCAGGAGCTCCCCTGACATTCAGGAGAGAGAAGAGAACGGGTTGAAGGCTGAGGGGAGGTGTAAGGATGTGAATCCTGGCAGCATGTTTTTTGAGTATGGCTTAAAGCCCAAAGTGCTTCATGGTTCTGCTGTCTTCCCTTTTGCCCAGCCAGCTGTAACAATGAACACACCCAGTCCGCTCTGGGGTGGTGTGTCCAGCTTCTGGAAATACCTGTCAAGTCACTCTCTGAACACTGAGAGATTTCAACCGGAGCTCTTCCCTCATTGGAGCTGCTGCTGTCAGAAGTCTGGCCTGTGACTGACTGACATGCCCTGGGAGATACTTTTAAAAGCAAGTGACTTTTTCCATTCTGAGTCTGTTTCTGTTTTGTAAATAAGTTCAGCTGTCTTATTTTCTTTTTAGATTTCACATACAGTTGCTGTCATGTTATATTTGTCTTCCTCTCTCTGACTTACTTCATTTAGTATGACAATCTCTAGTTCCATCAGTGATACTACAAATGGCATTATTTTAAAATCTTTTTTATAGCTGAGTAGTATTCCATTCTGTATATATGCCACATTATATTAAGTGAAGTCAGTCAGAGGATGATGATTGTTGTATGATACCACTTATATGTGGAATCTAAAATATTATACAAATACTTACAAAACAGAAACAGACTCACAGACACAGAAAACAAACTTACATTACCAAAGGGGAAAGGCTGGGGGGAGGGATAAACTAGGAAATGGGATTAACAGATACACAATACTGTATATAAAATAAACAAGAAGGATTTACCGTACATCGGGAACTATAGTCAATATCTTGTAAACATATAAAAGGAAAAGAATCTGAAAAGGAATATCTAATATATATTCAGATATATATATATATATCGGAATCAGTTTGCTGTACACCTGAAACTAACACAATATTGCAAATTAATGATACTTCACTTAAAAAATAAAGAAAGCAAATGACGGTAAACAACAGTTTATCTGGATCTTATACATTCCTCAGTGGCTATTTTAAATGAAATTCTGCCTATCCAGGATAGCTTTATCCCAGGAATCCAAGTCTTAGGGAAAGTCTAATAATTATTACATGAAATGATTTGCCTGAGGTAGGCACTAACAAAAGCACAGCAGCAATGAGCAATGTTCTTTGCTGAGGAAATGGCAGGTTTTCATTTAACCCTAAAAGTTTCACATCTGTTTCTGCCCCACTGAGGGACCTAACTGTAGTTTACAGGGATTCAAAAATTATGCAGGAATTCTACAACCTCAGAGTAGCCTGAAGATCTCTTCTGAGAGTCACATGTAACAAGGAGAGTTACATTACCCTCAGCCTGTAGGCATACTGGCTAAGCATTTGTTATGGATTTACACTGATCCTTGCAATAATCCTAAAATGCATGTAACATTTTTATCCCCATGTTACCGTCAAGGAAACTGGGGTTCAGCGAGGTCAAAT